GGCCATCGCTGTGGTTTCCCCGCCGGTGGTGACGTTGAGAATGTGCGACACAAGAGGCGATACACCCTCCTTCCGGACCGCCAAGATGGTCTCAAGAATTGTCCCTCGCGCACAGATTACGCCGTAAAAGTCATTTCCACGCAATTTGTCGAATCAAAATCGTACACACGCCGCACACCACGCGCGCGCACAGTGTCTCTCGGTAATATTATTTCACAAATATTACAAAATCGCATATTTATATTACCATATTTATATTTATATTAACAGCACAACACGGGCGCGCATTACGCGCACGTTATTATTGTTTTTATTTTAACGTGTAGTGTCAGTGAACACAACTCGTCATCGCGATGACAGCTAGTATATACCGTCTTACAAACCATATAATAGACATGTGACCTTAGTCACGTCCTATCAATCAATCCTAAAAACATCGAGATAAAAGTGCGCAACAATCAATATCGAGATAATCAATTCTGATTATTTTCACACGCTTTTTTCTGGTAGGAAAATATGCATATTCATATCCGTTTTTTTCGTTGTTCAACTGTTAGAAGTATCATGACTAAGTCACGTTTGTTCTTACAACGGATTTGTTTTCGTTGTAATTCTTGTCATCTCTCCGAATATACAGCGCGCTTACATAGCGACTTTATTTTTACGGTAATGAAACAAATTTCTTCGGAGAGTTGGGCAGAGAGAGAGGGAGAGAGAGAGAGAGAGAGGAGAGGGAGTAACCCATTTGGGCACCGGGATTTCTTGTTCCGGGATTTGCTTTTATGCTTTTGAGGGATTACGGAACGAGTGCATCGGCTGGTGTAAAATTGAAGATAATGGTACCGCGATGTGCAAATCATAGCCATGCATTGCGAGTTAATCTCGTCGGACTAATAGAATTTCTGACGAAGATCTTATGTACCGATTGAATGGAAATTGATCGAAAAATGGGACGCGCGTTTTATCCGATATTAAAATCTTTCAGATTCTTCCTCATGTAAAACGCTTTACGGGAAGTCTGCTTCGAAAATTTAAAATTCGAATATTTTCGTGATATAAATTTTGTACGATGAAAAATAAATATCCAGGACGACTGCGTTACACAAATATATATATATATACATGTAATCTACGAGCTTACGTCAATTGTTAGATAAAACTGAATTAAAAAAAAAAAACACAGGAATATGTAAAGAATAGAAAATAATCATATAAAGAAAAAAAAACGAAACAAAACATTTATTATGTCCGGTTAATACAATATAAAATTAAAATTAAAGTGAAATCATCAAAAAAAAGCGAATATTTCCACGATAGCAGCACAATTTTCCACGAGAGTGCATAAAATATTAAAACTCGTTTAGAAGTTACTCTCGAGCTGGAATTGTCAACTCTCATTAGATAAAAGCAAAAATACGAAACGAAGAAATATTATGCAGCAGCAGTAGCATCTCGGATGATGCAAAAAAATAGAAACGAATATTTGTTGCATTCCATCGATATATACGACATTCGTAATGAATTTATAACATATAAAAACGTGTCTAGCGAGCGAGAGAGAGAGAGAGAGAGAGAGAGAGAGAGAGAGAAAATAATACACAATATTTCACAAATTCATCAAATATTTAAACTCGTTTTTAGAAAGTTCTTCGCTAGAGTTGGAAGCGGTCGGAGCGCGATGCCGGCGTCCGAGATATCGCGATACACACGCTGCTCCTCTTCGAAATTTCCCTGTTTGCCTCCCTCTGCGAGCCAATGTGCGAATCGTTTCTGGAAAACTCGGCCACACACACACAGCAGATATTTCAATCTCCATCTCCGTCGGCACCGCTGTCGAGGCGTGAATTAATTCTGCGCGCGCGTCGGTCAGTAAAAATCCTCCGAATTCTTTGATCACCTACACGAGATGCCGCTGGCGTAATATCAATTTATGACGTACACGCGCCCGCTAACGTCGGGCTAATTGTAGACGCCACCCACTCTATCTCGTCGACCAATATACGTCGCGTGGGCGACCTCGACACCTGACGCGCGCATTCGCACTTCTGTCTAATTGTAAGTCGACGACGCAAACCAGAAAGGAACCGTCAACGCGCACACAGCTGTCAAGCGTGCGCAGTCATCTTCCTCAATGAACTGTCCGAAAATACGAGCACTATCTAGCAAACGCCACTTTCTCTCTATCCTCCTTTACTCCGATCTCTTCTCTCTTGCTCTCGCGCACAATGAAAATGAAGCACCCAGAACGTTATTTGTCATTTAACATCCTGTTACGTTCGTAACGAGGAAGCGGCCGAAATGGCAAATGTACAGACGCGTGAATAAACGCGTTCGCTGCAAAAACACGTCCGCAAATAGACCGATGCCTGAAGTCCGAGGGATATTTAAACGAGATAACGTCAACGACTCGAAATACATCGTGGGTGAGAGACACGTTTGTAAAATATGACGCAATAATATCGGGGACACGAAGTGGGTCTCAAAGTGTATCTTGCGCGTGTAATACACATGTATTTTTTTAGACATTCATCATCTATAAAAAAAAAAAAAAAAAAAATACGGATAATTAAAATATATTTCCCCACTTCCTTGCCTTCGTTTTTCATTTCGTGTCTTTCATTAACAACGTCCGGCTTTGATTATGTAATAATTGTACGGAATTTTTTGGTTGCGCGCATATTCGATTCATTATTGAATTCTTTTAATGCGAAAGATAGAAATGCGATATATATTAATATCACCGAACACACAAACGGTACTTATTTCCCCGATATAATCCTTTTCCGCGCTAATGCCGCTAATCGACATTCGAGCGATCAATGTGGCATTTAATCGCAGAATGATAAGCGGCACACAATGTGGCTTGTCACATCCTCCCGCATTATATAAATATCGCAGGCGCATATCTATCTACGTGAATTCTCGAATATTACAAATTTACGCAAACTCGCGCGGCCTCTCAACTATTTCGAGATTTTCAATCGCACACCCGCGAAGCCGGTTATTAAGGTCATGATATTTTTCATACACACACACACACGTATGTCTATAAATAATCAGAAGTCGCGCAGTAATCTAGAATTGTAGATTACGCTAGCTATTTTGAGAAAATTTCTGTACGCGCGCTATAAAGGTCTTGTGTACTGATTACTATTCTCCTTGTTCGCGCGCGCGCGCGCGCGATCTTCGACGCGAGCAGGGTTCGCAGGTCGGGAACAAAGAGCGCGGGCTGAAAGAAAGACCTAATCGCGAGTATACTTCCCTTTCGCATGGGGAGAAACGCGCGGAGAAGGGAGAAACGTGACGGAAAGGTCGGGAAAAGAAAGGGATTTTGCAAAAGGCGTGCGTGGCGCACGAGTTCTCATTTCAAGTCCGTGGGGTACGTTGAGCGAAGAGATTCGCCGAGTGTTCGCTTCTCTAAAGGAACTTTAATCAAAACCGGAAAATAGAAGAAACCTACTTTCCATCCCCCGTGTATCTCGTTGCTGGCGAGCTACTATCCCCCTCCCCCCCGTTTTGTCCGAGACGGACGATAATGCCGGCGTCTCTGACCTTCCGTGTGAGATATCCCGAAACGCGCGTATACAACAATGCCCGCCATTGTCTAGGCCACTTTATTGTGCCCCCGGACGACGTTCAAATATCATCACCCGGACTTCTCGGATGTGCTTGTGAACGAGTTCGCAACGCAACGTGTGCACAAAATGCTTGCCCCCCCCCTTAACGAGGATTAAAGGGAAATTAACGAGGAAACTTTAACAAGAGGAATTAAGTCAAGGTTGCGCGCGAAGAAAGCAAGCGGAATTTTATGTCATGATTAAAACAAGTAGATATAATGGGCTTCTCTCTCTCTACGCTTTGCGAAAGGCAAAAAATTTCAATTCCCAAGCTTAATCAGAGATGTATTTAATGACAAAGATTCAAGTTACAATGAACGATGATTGATGACGTCTATCAGCATTCTTGGCAACTTTCCGGAAACGGCTCCTCGGATATTATGAATTATCGGTGTAATAGGACTCATTTGGCGCGGACACTTTGTGATTTTCTCACGTTTCACTAAGTGAGAAAGACAGAAATAGAGAGAGAGAGAGAAAGAGAAAGAAAATATTCAAAATATTTAAATTAAAAATAGAAAACAAAGTGACTTCGTTGAAAACTGGCAGAAATATTTGAGAATATATCCAGTCGGCACAAAAATCCGTGAGATATCTTAAGAGATGTCTCCAAAAACGTCTAAATTGTTTTTAGCCATCTTTTAGATATCTTTCCGACGTTCTTCTGTGCGCTGTCTGGGATAATAATATAATATACATATCGAAGACTTCATTATCGATGCGCAAGTCCTTACAGCGTGTATCGTGCACTGTGTATAATACAATGATCGTATAAAAACAACTTAAGAGACAGAAAATACAGGTTTTATTATATACGCATTACCGACATGCAAATGTAAACATATAAGCTAATCTACAATTATAAAGCTGAGATAATTTTTCATGCACTGGAAATAATTATCGTATTTTTGACAATCGCGTTATTAACAATATTGTCAACTAAGCAATGATTTATAGCTTTCTATAAAGAAACAAAAAAAACAAAAAAAATGGAAAATCTTGACAGTTCGACAGTAAGCAATAAGATAGTTTTTCAATTAAATGTTACGTTAAACGAAGCGAATTTAAACAACAAAAAAGTTAATTCAATAACGAAAATTATTTTTCAAAATGTTCGTTTACGTGAAAGTCCGACTTCGCATTTCTTCGTCATTATCATACCGAATGTGATAAAAAAATGTTACATTTATCGCGCGTTATCAGAATAAAAATTCGATATTCACAAACTTACTTCCTTATGGATAGACGCAAAGTGTGATATTCGATAACCGTGGGACGCGACAATGATTAAACACGATTTCAGTTTGTCCGATATATATATATTAATAGAGACAATATCGATTTTGTCATAACGTTGGTTGAAATTATATAAGAAACACTTACCAATTCTCTAGTACACCGACGTTCGAGAAATTCGGAGGAAAACTCGCGGCCGCCATCGATAGCAGCAACTATAAATGCCCGCTGTGTGTGTTCCGTTAATTGTAGACTCTCTTCACAGCCCTAACACGTTTACTGAAACGAAAGGAAATAAAATATTCGTTGTTTGTTTTTAACGTCGCGTTTTTTTTTTCACAGATATTTTTACTCGGCGCTTGATGAAACTTTGTTTGTTGCATAATCGCACAATTCGCTCTCTTTCGAGAAATTTCGATATTAACAAATTTCTCTGAATTCAAACACATGTGTGATTGCGCGTTTAAAATACATAACCGTATGTGTGTGAGCGCACGTGTGAGTGTCGAATAAAAAACTGACGAGCAAAGTGGTGAATATATGCATTACATATACCTATAATTTTATCCGCGCGGAGAGCGATTAAAAATTTTTTAATTGCTATCGCGCACGATTTTGTCGTAATTGTGATCCGCTTCTCGGATGATACGAAGATTCAAAGAGCGTGACACACACACACACACACAACGGCACTGGCCATCTTTCTTAAAAAGTATCATCGCATCTGCTTTGCATACTACTCGTGCCTCTCGCACGTACATGCGGTATAACCATGTTTGCGAGGCGACACACAGCTACGCACGAAGTTGAACGCGCACACGGAAACTCGCACCTCAGCCCATCCTCATCCCCTTTCTCACATTACTATCTGCCGCTTTTCGGGCTTCGGTATCGGTAATGAACGATCTATTGTGCTGGTGGATGCTCTTTCAGGCAAGACGAAGAAGACGAGATAGAATAGAGAGAGAAAGAAATATGTATACAACCGGCTAAGAGTAGATAACGGAGGTTGAAGAGCGGAGATAGTAGACTGCGCGAGAGTGGCATAGAGGAGGTATGAAAACGGCACTCGTTAATGGATTCTCACTCCCCCGTGCTCTTTTACTCTCTTTCTTTCTTTTCTCAATATCTTCTCCCTCACTCTTTCTTTTTCCTTTCTCGCGTTCTTCGCTCTCTTCGCACTTGGGTTTTTTTCAATCTATATACCCACACGGCGACGCAAGAAGAGGTCGCTCGTTACAACGATGTAGATAGACATCCGGAAGTTCCGGTGCGATCACCGTGCAGTGTTTCCGAGATTTGTAACAATCGCAAGACAAACACACAGAACATTTCTCGATACGTCGTGTAATCCCGATGTTGCGATAGGGGAAATTATTTGACCGTCTGAACCGCCCCGTATAATAACGAGGGGATCATCCCTGCCGCGCGGAAATCTCGTTTAAGTTTCTCTCGTGATTTCCAAGAAGCAAGGGTTAACCTCTCGATTAATTAATCGGTTGTGCAAACGTATATATACATATATATATATATATATCTCGTCTCTTCACGTATTTTACACAAAAGGCGAAACGTAAAAGAAATATTTACTAAATTATATTAAAAAATAAATAAATAAATAAATGTAAAACACGTTATCTGTGTTAACTTGAAATACACCCTTGTAGGAATTGACGAACGGCCCAGTATTGTATCAATATCGGCAAACGAGGCTCGATATTGGTACGACAGTAGTAGCCAGTACTGGGCGAATATGCTTAATGATTAGATCGAGCCAACGCTGGCTCTTAAGCTCGGCACGATACTTACTTCCGAGATTGGTCAGATATGGATTTCAAGTATTGGCACAATGTTGCAATTTTATACTAACAAGACAATCTTAGCCAACACTGGCTAAATATTCTTAGTGGTCAGATAGGCCTAAGATCAGTAACTTATATGACGCCAACATTGTGGCGCCAATATGTTGATCGCAGGAATGATTTTCGATAAAATTAAAGTTTGAACATTGGCTCATCCGTGGTGCCAGTATCGGGCCAGTCGTTTCGCCGGTACATAAACGACTCTTGGCAAGACAACAGTTTCAATATTGGTCCTGTCTTCTTGCCAATACTGGCCCAATATCGGTCCTGTCTTCTTGCCAATACTGGCCCAATATCGGTCCTGTCTTCTTGCCAGTACTGGCCCAATATCGGCCCTGTCTTCTTGCCAGTACTGGCCCAATATCGGCCCTGTCTTCTTGCCAGTACTGGCCCAATATCGGCCCTGTCTTCTTGCCAGTACTGGCCCGATATCGGCCCTGTCTTCTTGCCAGTACTGGCCCGATATCGGCCCTGTCTTCTTGCCAGTACTGGCCCAATATCGGCCCTGTCTTCTTGCCAGTACTGGCCCAATATGTATGTCGAACACTGGTGAACAAACGGGCCAATATTGGGCTGTTATAAAATACAAAAATGGGACAATACTGGACCAATTGTCAATATCGAGTATCGGCTATAAAGGTTGGGCCATTGTTGGCCTAGTAGTATTACTGGAAGTCTGTCGGCAATTCCTACATGGGCAGCTAAGATATTTGATGAACGTTACCGGAGAAAGCTTGAACTTCTTTCTCGCAATTAAATTAAAAAAAAGTGCGCTCGCACAAATTCGCTGGATTTGAGTTTCCGGCGCACTCGACGCGACGACCATTCAACATGTCGAAGAGGACGGAAAGACGAGTTTTCGCTAATTAGCGAAAATATCCGATAGAGAAAGAGGGGGGAGAAAGAGAGAGAGAGAGAGAGAGACTCGCATCGTCAAGGCGGACGACGCGCGCAATCCGACGCGGATTAGAGAATACGACAAAATCCATTGTAGTCGATCGAGCGCTGCCATTGTCCGCCGCCATTGTTTGTGCGCTCGCACGGCCGTGATAAGGGGGCACGATTCCGCCGCTTCCCGCGAATGACAGCGCGCGACCGAGAGACAACGCTATTATTATCTCTCTTTCTCTCTTTCTCTATTTCTCTCTCTCTCTCTCTCTCTCTCTCTCTCTTTATCTCTCTGCAAACTGCTGACGGTGCGAGCTGCATCGGCGCCATTATTGTCATTATGAAATATTTTCAACAACATTTCGAAGATAATTGACAACAGAGAAAGTGGAAAGTGTCGTGTACTCGTTCGTGTAAATTTTACTGAATTGTTTCTTTCAAAACGAAAGAGAGAGACAGAGAGAGAGAGAGACTGAATTTCCCGGCAAATTACGAGAGTAATAACACACGAAATGTCTGCTACAACTACACACGAACGTATCTACACAAACGTATTTATATTTTCGCTTCGGTGACTTGTGCGGAGAGCGCGATATGTGTCGTGACGAATATTCATTATGTATGGCGGTAGTAACTGCGCAATCTCGCGCACGAGAATCCGTCGTTCTCCGCCAATGATGATCTCGCGTCCGCGTGATTATCCGCGTTTATCAACTTGCGCGATGTCGCTTGCTATTCGTTCCAAGTTCGAAACACACCGACGAACTCTCTTCCAACTGACAAAACGAAGGTACTGAATGGAACGCGCGAGAAACGCGCACGGGAGCAAGAACGATCTAATCAACATTGACGGAATCAAAGTGCCTTAATTAATGCAGCCTCGCTCTGCGCCGTATGTAGAGTAAAAAAACACATACATATATATATATATGTATATGTATCTTTGTGCATATATCCACTTCGAAGAATCCGTCAAATTCAATCGCGTTACAGTCCCGATTGAATTGTTGGGCGTCGATAGAGCGCGAACGCGAAATTCCACGAATAGAATATACTTTTGTTCGCGATTCGCACCAAGAATGCTTCTTCGACGATAACAGACTACGAATATAATTCGATTCTCGCGAACGCGTTGGATCAATGCGTGGACGTATTATCCGTTCGAAAATAGCGCATACATACCGCGTTCGCCGCCCGTTTTGCATGTGATCGATGTCCGCGGAAACGCGCGATACGCCGCACGCCCGTTTGCAAGCCGCGCCTGACTATAAACGGAAGACGGCGCGAAACTCGGCGGCCGGCGCGCGCGGCAACAGCCGCACCGTGTCTACTTTCTCTATCTGGTCTGACTAGGAAGTCGTAAATCCCCTTCGCCATTTGCCGACGCGGGAGCGCGTTTTATGCAGTGTGTATCCGCGCCGGCAATAAAAGCGAACGAATGCAATCGAATCGGTGCCAGGACACCGACGACGCGCGCTCTCTCGTAATCTCGCGTGTCTCGCCTCTTCGGCAACTTTTCGATACGATACGGATATAACGACACCGGTATATAAGAACACTACGGGGCGCGCGATAAAATCCCATAGGTCTTCTTCTTGTTCGCAGTCGGATATTTGGAAGTTTGAAATACACAATTCCGACAATACCCATGTAGGAATTGCCGACAGACTTCCAGTAATACTACTAGGCCAACAATGGCCCAACCTTTATAGCCGATACTCGATATTGACAATTGGTCCAGTATTGGCCCATTTTTGTATTTTATAACAGCCCAATATTGGCCCGTTTGTTCACCAGTGTTCGGCATTCATATTGGGCCAGTATTGGCAAGAAGACAGGACCAATATTGGCCCGTTTGTTCACCAGTGTTCGGCATTCATATTGGGCCAGTATTGGCAAGAAGACAGGACCGATATTGGGCCAGTACTGGCAAGAAGACAGGACCGATATTGGGCCAGTACTGGCAAGAAGACAGGACCGATATTGGGCCAGTACTGGCAAGAAGACAGGGCCGATATTGGGCCAGTACTGGCAAGAAGACAGGGCCGATATTGGGCCAGTACTGGCAAGAA